AAATGTATATTTACTATTTTAAAAATTACAAATGTTTTGAGTTTTTGACGAGCCCCGATAAATGTTTTGAAAAATGTATATTTTTAAAAAAATAGCGTTATAGTAGCGTTTATAAATTAAAAAAATAAAAAAAGAGGCGAGGCGAGCCGAGCTTAACCGAGCTGCTCGCCTTGGGCGAGCTCGCCCAAGTGGCAACGAGCCGAGCTCGTCTAACAATGGGCCGGCTCGTTGCCACTTGGGCAAGCTCGGCTTGGCTCGGCTCGGCCCATTGACACCACTATAGAGACGGTTTGGGTAGGTTATGGGTGGCGGTGGAATTTTGGGGATATGTGTGGAATTATGAAACTTAATAAGGCCAGTACTGAGGGTAATTTCCTCAAAAAGAAAATAATGCCGCTTTCCCACAGTAAATCCACAACTCAAGTTAAGCATTGCCACTACATCACATTCAGGGTAAGACATCCAAGCGGATTACCTGAAGCTATTATTGACTCTATACTTCTAAATAATGACACACTCTGCATTGTGCACCAAAAGCGACTGATACGAAGTTTGGGAATACAATGGGACCTCGTATAACTCAGAAGTCTAACGGAAAAAAGAGTAACAAAATAAACTGGGTAGCAATCCATGCGTGTCAACTTTCACAAAGAAATTTCTTAAAATAAGCACGTCTCTTGATAACATTTCGCAAAATAATCAAGTCTCTTAAAATTACTATTAAAATGATCATTACAGAACATCCTTTGCAAGTAACACATACACTTATTCTATATATCTTTCTTGATGCATCAAATTTAAAGCAACTATAATAATTGACGGTTTACTTTAACAAGTTGAAGAAACACTTCATTTTCTTGCCTGTAGTTTGCACTGTTTCTTTTCCATGGTTGCTTCAAAGGTTTTATGAACTGAGCTGTATATCGGTTCACAGATAAATATTCAGGAAGACACATTCTTTATACAAAAGACAGAACAAGCTTGCAAGCCACAAAGCTCTATAACAGAAAAATTAAAGAAAATTGGAGACAATGATTCAATTGGAAGTGTGTTTCTACCATGTGTTTATGGATCGCAATCACACAAAAATTACAGAATGCACAGTTCTGGGTTGGAATATATTCTGATTCCAAATGAATTCTGATTCTCCAAAGATACAAAGATATAAATAGATCCATATAGAATTTTGAATGCAATTTGGTAAATTTGAAATAGAAAGGAGAGCTCGTGTCTGTTGAGTAGAATGAAGTCCAAATATTTATGAAAGTTAATTAATGATCATTGTAATAGGTGATAAATGCTCTTGTTTCATAACGTATTAGTTTTATTTCAGAAGATCATTACTGAGATCATCTGGACACGTATCATGGGATTGTATTTGTGGTCTCAAGGTTCAAGATTCAACCGGCACATTCTTCAATCTATAGCTACCAAAAAAGTGTATTCCAGCTGAATTGCGAAAGCAAAGAGAGGTGTCATGATGTCCAACTTTTCTTCAAAATGATTCACGGCCAATTTCATTCTCGCTGTTTACTTAATTGATTAAACGGTATCTGCAGTAAAATGGTTTTAAGTTGAGAAATGGCCAAGAAACAAAACTTGAGTAGGTCCCCCACAACAATTTTTGTGGTGTCGAGTTCGAATGTGATTGCCTCCATGAGGAGATGATCATGGTATATTTACTTGCTCAAGACCATTTTTGATGAATGAGAAAAGGCAAGACCATTTAACTTGGAAAAAAAAAAAAAGAAGGGAATGATGGAAAATATGCTGTTTTCCCACTTCGGAATATGAAAAGAACTTTGAATACTTTATAGTATTTAGTTTAGGCCCAAGGAGCACCCAAATACATAGAAGAGGGGAGGACCTACACCAATTGTAAGTTCGAACCTAAGCCCACATGCGCACACCGCCACCCAGGGTGCAATGCAGCGAGGAGAAAATAAATAAAATGATAATAATGCAGGCTGATTCTACAATAAGCTAATAAATGTGCATGACAATGCCACCAGAAAATGATAGTCATGACGAGTTGTTCAAGTATCCTTCAAGTTTGATTAATTATGATCTTCATAAGTCATCACATGCAGTGACTAATTAGATTCTTAGCAGTCAGCAATCCTCATAAAAAACCCAATATAAATCTTATGATCCTTCTATTCTGACCCCAAAAACCCAACTCTACGTCGACCTCTGGCATTGTCATAATCCTGATAAGTTCTTGTGTTTACGGCCATACTGTACCAAATTTAATTTTCTCTATTCTGTAGGACCTAGGGCAGAAATGAGACCTTAAAGTATTAGAGTGTTGAATCCAGTTAGCTTTTATAAATGATTACAAATTTTTAAAATTCCAATTGTCAGTACTGAGCTTCAGTGAGATTTCATCCATTTGAATGCAGGCTGGAATCCATTAGCTCATATAATTTACATTGTGTAATGCTAAATCTTAACCAAATGGAAAGAATTAAGGTAAAAGATATCCCGTTTGAATTGAGCTCATTTAAACCATAGTTAGACCTATGATAAACGTTCTAACTTGGATTTTTGTTGCCATTTTCATTTACCTTTTCCTCTTCCCTAATAAGAAATACCAGGAACAGTTTTTCAGCAACATAATACATAGGAATAAATTATAAAGCAAGCATGTCAATAAACATTACGTACCAAGATGTCTGTATCTTTGATGTTTGAACTGAGTATTGGATCACAAACGTGCAATGGGCATATTATAGAATGTAGCACGTGCTATGAATGCCAGTCGCCCTGATTCCTTGTGTCTAAACTCAACTGCAACTACTGTCAAGTTCCTCCCACTCCTTACCACAGACCCATCAACAATTACTTCAGTCTGTAATGGAAAACAACAACAAAAACTAAACATTGTTCGGATAAAATATTATTCATGTCATAATAATTTGACAAAGTTCCTTCACTTCGGTTTGAGACCGGTTATGAAAAACATAAGCAGAGTAAAAAAAAAAAAAAATTGAAAGGAAGAGGTTACAAATGACAAATTCTCAGGTTTTTTTTTTTACAAGGGAATATTCCAGTCGAGCCATTAAGGATTAAATTTTCGACCATCGCCTCACAGCCTTTATCCGTTGGACTTCATGTCATACACAGAAATTTATTCTCTTTTGATAGGTTACCACAGGATACGTGAAATAAGGATTTGCAAAACGCAAACTTACAAGGGAAGAATGAATTTTTTCTATCATAAAACTACAGCACATTGAGAGCTTCGAGGAAAGAAAGAAGCCACAAAAAGAATGTAAAGTAACACTTTTCCCTCAATAATTGATAAAATGGACTGATGCAGTCACAGCTCGCCCCTAAGAGAAGAGCTTAAAAAACCTTCAGAAATTCATCGCAAACACAACACATCACGTCACAGTGGAAATAAGTTTTGTTAGGGATTAGGCCCTCATCCAATTTCCAATTGCAGCAATAATCAAAACAAAATCAGAAAGATTTGAAGCAAATATACAAAGTTATAGTAGGTTCACCCTCAATGTCCACTCAACATTGCAGATATTCTCTATATTGACGAAGGAGGTTAGAAGGTTTTTCTTACGCACCTCTCGTCTTGTATCACATGAACCCCCAACTCCTCTTAACCTTATATGCTTTATATTTGATTGGAATATTAGAGTGGCCTATTACATATGTGATTGCCCAACAGGATGCATATAAAGTAACAAGCAATAACTAGTCACAGCATACACTATATGCAATAAGAACATCACTTAGGTGTTGTACCAAAAATAAAATTAAGATTACAAAGCCCAAAAGACTCACATTACGTGGAGCTGCAGAGAGGTAAGATATGCTTAATTCTCCAAGGAAGAGATTCTTATCTTTTCTTACAACTGTTCTAGCACAAGCAATTGCCAACCTCTCAGCCACAGCCCCAACTGCTCCTCCATGCATTCCTCCATAAAGATTCTACATATGCAATTTAACCCAGTAACTGAAATACGCCATTAACACCATGTTCGCTTAAAGGTATACGTGCAAGTCAACCAGTTAAGTTTTTCAAAATAAATAACTTTTGTTATTTGTCAAAGTTAGAAACAATAAAGGTACTTATTTTTACAGTGAGGTAAGAATTACTTCTAGATGAGTACCTTTTTTTTTCCATGAAAAGTAAGAAAGAGTAACTAATTCAAACATGTTTAGAAGTTTGTCTATAAGTGCTCCAAGTGCATGTTTGGCCTTGCTTATTCTAAGACGCTGGCTTACTTCGGCAGTATCACTATTGATACTGCCAAAATAAGCCATAAAGAAGCCAATTTTTTTTATTTTTTTTGGCTTTTGGCTTCTTTTGTCTTTTAAGCTAACCTAAGCCAAGCATGCTTTCATGTCAAATTAATCAAATTATTACTGGAATTAATATCAAAAAGCTAAGATTGATGGGCCAGAAGAACAGTCAAAATCACATAAAAGAGATGTGTTGAAATAAATATGTTTTCGCCATTCTTGATCAATTTCGTGAACATATGAAAATGTAATGGTTGGGCTGAATCTCAACCAGAACTCACCAAATCAACACAAATTACTCACAATTGAAGATAGTCAGCTGGGACTTAACAACCCCAGCACTAATTGTATTAATTAAACCGAAGGAAATTACAATTAAAAAGAGAAAAGAAGAAGAGAAAGAAAGAAGTTAGAAGAAGAGCGTCAAAGAAGGGACGAGAAGTACAAAGAGATTGGGAAAAGAGAAACTCATATGACATTCTACAAGTTCTTCTTCTCTCCTACAGTTTAAGTACTACAGCCAAAAACGTGTTCCCAAAATGATAAAACGTACACTTAAAACAATTAAATTGGGAGCAAAACGGTGTCGTCTTGGATTCCAAAATTTTGGTGGAACCGTTGAGATCTCTTCTTCCTTCTTCCCTAGGTGCTTCCTTCAACTGGATGGTTATGACATTCCTCCCCCTCAAATCGACCTTGTCCCCAAGGTTGGAAGTGAGGGAACTGTGTCTGGATCGTTGCAGCATCTTCCCAAGTTGCATCATCCATTGTAGCATGCATCCACTGTACTAACCATTGAGTAACATCTTGATCACTCCGCTTGATCACACGGGTTTGTAGGATTGCCTGGGGAGTGCTGTGCTGTTGTCCTGCTTGATTGATGTCTGGGATTAGCAAATTAGGCATTTCTCTATCCTCTATCTTCTTCTTAAGCAGTGAAACATGGAAAATAGGATGGATTTTGGAACTAGGAGGAAGCTCCAACTTATAAGCTAACTATCCAATCTTTCTGATAATTTGATAAGGTCCATAGTATCTTGCAGATAACTTGAAGTTGACCCGTGTGGAGACAGACTGTTGTTTATACGGCTGAAGCTTCAAATACACCCAATCTCCAGTTTGAAATTCTCTCTCAGTTCGGTGTTGATCTACGTAAAACTTCATCCTTGTCCTGACCTCAGCTAAATGTCCTTTGAGCAACTGGTCTATGAGATGTCTCTGTTGTACCAACTCATCCACTGCCGCAATGTTAGTTTGTTGATAAGGCCCTCAGGCTAGCTGTGGGGGTTTGATTCCATATGAAGCTTCGAAAGGGCACATTCTAATGGCTGTGTGATAAGTGGTATTATACCACCATTCAGCTAGTGATAACCACTTAGACCACTGCTTAGGTCGATGAAAGGTCATGCAACGTAGGTACATCTCCAAACACTGATTTAGTCTCTCTGTCTGACCATCAGTTTAGGGATGGTACGCAGAACTTAGGTATAGTTCAGTCCCTAATAGTTTGAACAGCCCTTGCCAAAACCCACCGATGAATATCTTGTCTCTGTCGGACACCATGCTTTGAGGCATCCCGTGCAGTTTGTATATGTTATCGAGGAACAATTTGGCTATAGTGGAAGCTGAGAATGAGTGGGCCAATGCAAAGAAATGACCGTATTTGGTGAACCTGTCCACCACTACCAAGATTATTGTCTTACCCTTAGAAGGAAGTAGAACCTCAATAAAATCTATGGAGATATGACTCCAAGAATACTGTGGCTCAGGGAGGGGTTGCAACAACTCAGGATAGGGAATATGCTCTCCTTTACACCTTTGGCAAACATGCTCTTCCCTTCTGATATCTTTAGTTATGCTGGGCTAAAAGAAATGTTGTTTGGCCCTGTAAACACTCGCCTGTACGCCTGAATGCCCCCCATTTTGTGAAGAATGAATATTTTGTATCGGTCTGGCTCTTCTCTATCCACCAGACCCTACATATAACTTCCCTTTATATTGGAGTAGCCTGTTTTTGTAGGAACAATTAGATATCTCTCTAGGTTTGAACAGTTGTGCTTCAATCAACTGGTTAGCCATCTCATCCCCTTGATAGCTTTCTTTCTATCACCTCCTATACACAGGTAGGAATGATATGGGAGATGGCAGCCACTTTTATCTCTAGTTCTTCCCTCCTTGACAGTGCATCCGCCACAATGTTTTCAGTCCCTTTTCTATATTGAATCTCATAGCTGAGCCCAAGGAGTTTGGTTAGCCACTTCTGTTTGAGAGGTGTGGTGATCCTCTGTTCTAGGAGGTATTTTAATGATTGATGATTAGTTTTGATTATAAAATGGTGACCTTCAAGGTAATGTCGCCATTTCCCCATGACTGTAACCAGGGCTAGTAGTAACTCCTTCTCATAAATGGACAACCCCAACTTTTCCTTGTTTATGCCTTTATTCATATAAGCAATTGGTCTCTTCCCTTGCATTAGAACTGCTCCCATTCCCCCCAGTACAAGCATTCGTCTCAACAATGAATGGTTGGTTGAAGTCAGGTAGTGCAAGGACTGGAGTGTTACATATTGTTGTCTTCAATGCTTGGAAGGCCGTTTTAGCCTCATCATTCCAACTGAAATTGTCCTTCTTCAGGAGATCTGTTAAGGGTTTAGCTAGCACCCCATATCCTCTGATGAATTTTCTGTAGTAGCCTGTCAACCCAAGGAATCCTCTTAGCAATTTCAGTGCTAGGTCTAGGCCACTACTGCATAGCACTTAACTTCTGTGGGTTCAGCTGACACCCCTGCAGCTGATATTATGTGCCCCAAGTATTTAGCATTGATTTGCCCAAAAGAACATTTAGATTCCTTGGCATATAGTGTCTGACTCCTCAATACATCTAGCACCATTGACTAGTGTTTGCAATGAGATGGTAAGTCAGGACTGTATACCAAAATATCATCAAAGAAAACTAGCACAAAATTCCTCAAGCAAGCTTTAGAAGCTTTATTCATCAAGCTTTGGAAGGTGGCTGGGGCATTGGTGAGGCCAAATGGCATCACCTTAAATTCATATAGACCTTGGTGTGTCCTGAATGCTGTCTTGTGGATATAGTGCATACCATTCTAATCTGGTGGTATCCAGCCCTCAAATCAATTTTGGAAAACCATTTAGAGTCATGGAGTTCATCAATCAGTTCATCAATCAAGGGCATGAGGTATTTGTCCTTGATAGTTAAATTGCTTGCTGCCTGTAATCCACATAAAACCTCCAAGTGCCATCCTTTTTCTTCACTAACAAGACTGGCGAAGCAAAAGGGCTACTGCTATGTTAGATGATCCCTACTCCAACATTTCCTTCACCATCCTCTCCATTTCAGTTTTCTACACATAAGGGCATCTATATGGCCTTATTTTAAAAGGCTGGCCTCCTTCCTTTAGGGGTATCCTGTGATCATTAAACATAAGAGGGGGCATTCCTTTTGGTTCTGCAAATACATCTGGATATTGCTTAAGGGTATCTTGCACCTCAGTAGGAATTTGGTCATTTCCCTCCTTTTTAATTGATTGGATTTGAGCTACAATACCATAAGGTTGCCTGTGTATCCACTGGCTCATCTGTCCCCCTTCCATCATAAAAAATTCTTCACTCATGACTTTACTTTTTAATTCCACCTTCATCCTTTAATCAGAGAATCTGATGCTACCATGTTGGAAGTCAAATTCCACTGGTTTAAACTGGCTTAACCAATCTACCCCCAACACCATATCACTCTCCCTAACCTCAACACCCTCAGTTGGAATTGGCATTCCATTCCTTGCATGACCCAAGTAAGGGGATTACATATGGCAGTCCTATGCATCTTGTCTCCATTGGCCACGATAACTATCACAGATTGAGTAGGTTCTGTCTTACACCTCAGCTCCTTGACTAGTTTCTCATCAATAAAGCTATGGGTGCTGTCGCTGTCAATGAGAATAGACACCCTCTGCCTCTTCCTCTTCACCATGCCTAGGATTCGGATGGTTTTTGGTTTTAGGCTGCCCTATTAATGGAGATCTCCATGATTTCCTCATTCTCATTCACTTCACTTTGCTCAGTCCTCTTCTCCTCATCCGCGGTTTCCCCATTTATTTCATCATCCACCAACATAAAGTTAAGCATCTTATTTCTACATATATGTCTAGGGGTGTATTTATCATCACATCTAAAACATAACCCCAGACTCCTTTTGGTTTGTATATCAGTGGGGTTGATAGTTTTTAATCTCAATGGGTGGTTTTGGTTCTTTTGGATCTGTTCAGTGTTATTGTTGGGAGGGATTCTTGGGCTGGCTTCGAAGGGCCTTTGTGGGTTGTTAGGCCATTTGGATTGATAATTGGGTTTGGCTAGGTTTTTTGTGTTTTTGTTGAGAGCGGCTATTTCAAAGGCTTGGGAAATAGAGGTTGGTTTGATAATTTTTACCATTGACCATTTGACCTGATTTCCTCCTTCAATCCACTAGTAAAGATGGAGATATAATAGGACTCAGGAAGGAGTGGAAGGGATAACATCACTTGGGATTTGAGATCCTCGAAGAGCTCCTGGTAATCGGCTACAGATCCTCTTTGTCTGATTTTACTAAAGGTCTCTATAGCTTCTTCACATGTACCCTATGCAAACCGCCTACACACCTCTGTAGAGAACAATTCCCAGTCAGCGTTGGGGTTGCTCGAGATGAATCCATGAAACTACACATCTGCCTTCCCTTTCAAATACATTTCCGCCACACTGACCCTCACTTCTTCAGGAATTAGATGTATCTGAAAATGTTTTCAAGCCTTCCTCAACCATTCTCTAGGGCCTTCCCCACTAAAATAAGGGAACTCAATCTTAGGCAGTTTAACTCCTCTCATCTCACTTACATTAGTGTTACTTCCAGAGGGTAATCCTATGCACGGTGGCGTGAGTACTCCTTCACCATTGTGAATTGGAATTGGTGAACTCATTTTCTGTTTGTCTCTAGATTCCCCATTTTGCCCCATCATTTGGGCCATCATGGCTACTAATGATTCATGCTTAGAATTCAATCCCCCTATCATTACCTCCATACGGTCCTGCTTGTTACACAAAGCCTCCATACCGTTCTCTGCCTTATCACTCATTCCTTGGAGTGTTTCATTCAGACCTTCAACTTCCCTGTCCAATTTTTTCAGGTATTCCTCTACGACCTTAGCTCGAGTATCTATTCCCATACCACGTAGCTGCTCTGATACCAACTGTAATGGTTGGGCTGAATCTCAACTAGAACTCACCAAATCAACACAAATTACTCGCAATTGTAGATAGTCAGCTGGGACTTAACAACCCCAACAGTAATTGTATTAATTGAACCGAAGGAAATTACAATTAAGAAGAGAAGAGAAGAAGAGAGAGAAAGAAGTTAGAAGAGGAGTGTCGAAGAAGGGACGAGAAGTACAGAGAGATTGGGGAAGAGAAACTGATCTGACATTCTACAAGTTCTTCTCTCTTACTGTTTAAGTACTACAGCCAAATACGTATTCCCAAAATGATAAAACGTATACACTTAAAACAATTAAATTGGGAGCAAAATGGTGTCATCTTGGATTCCAAAATTCTGGTGGAACCGTTGAGATCTCTTCTCCCTTCTTCCCCAGGTGCTTCCTTAAACTGGCTGGTTATGACATTGAAAACTTCACATCTTTCTACAGACAAAATACACATACATGCACAAGAAATTACATATCTTTTATAAACCACTCTACCAGGAAAAAATCTTGAAGTTCCCATTTCGTTTTCTTGGATTTTCTTGAAAACTCAATAAACTTTCAAATAAAAACGCAACAATAGCTCACACTTGAAAAACTGACTTACGGGAGGGTGTCCCGTGTTTATAACCCTCAAGGCAGGCCTTTCAAGAACGATGTGGGATTCAGTTAGACCGTCATAAAAAAATTCCAAATCTTCATCAAAGCAATTAAAAAATAGAAGATACTACACGAAGAAAGCAGCAAAAAGGGTACCAGTGTAGGAGGTTTGATGGTGAGGAGGCAAGAGATTCTCCCCCGTTCAATTGTAATAACCTTAAGAACTCCACCAATAAGGTTAGAGAAAGAATCCTTAATATTATGTTCAGGTTTAATTGTGTGAAAGACACCAGTATTGTTGTAAAACAGAGTGAGTAATTCCAGAGACTCTGAGGGGAAATCTTTAGAGACTGTAGTGCCTGTGCTGATGAGATCAACGGTGGTGCGCGGCAGCGCTTCGTTGGTTGCCATGGTGTTCTTCCCCAATCAGCAACCCCGTTGGGGAAAGACCTGGTGGTTTGGTTTGGTATAGTGTTGAGGAATAATATATTAAGAAATTTGGCGTAAACGGTCCTAAGTTTTACTTTGTTACAATATAGTGCATAGTTTAATTCTGTAATTTCATTCTTTATTCTTTGTGATCCCTTCTTTATGTTAGCTGGCATGTAGCGATGTCCATAGTTTGTTAGGGGTACTCTTTTACCACTTAGAGATGTGCCATGGGGGTTATAAATATATACATATACCTAGTGGTAAAAGGGGAATGTGGAAAAACTCTAACTTTACTTGAAACTGTCACGTCAAATGTTCGAATCCTGAAATATAGATTTGGCTCTTGGGTAAGTGCAAGTCTACACGCAGCCTTCCACTCTATACCCTTCGAAATATAACCTGCGATTTACCTCTTTCACCAAGGTCCACAACATGACAGGTGGGGGCCGCTAAGGATGAGGTTCATCCTTTTTATAGTGGAATGCAATGAAATTTCTCCCTGTCCCATCTCAATTGCTTCTTGAGATCCTTATTGTTTCAATTTAAGAAATATTTTAGTTCTT